ATGGACAATGACCCAAAGCATACTGCAAAAGCAACCAAAGAGTTTTTTAAGGGAAAGAAGTGGAATGTTATGCAATGGCCAAGTCAATCACCTGACCTGAATCCGATTGAGCATGCATTTCACTTGCTGAAGACCAAACTGAAGGGAAAATGCCCCAAAAACAAGCAGGAACTGAAGACAGTTGCAGTAGAGGCCTGGCAGAGCATCACCAGGGATGAAACCCAGCGTCTGCTGATGTCTATGCGTTCCAGACTTCAGGCTGTAATTGACTGCAGAGGATTTGTAACCAAGTATTAAAAAGTGAAAGTCTGATTTATGATTATTATTCTGTCCCATTACTTTTGGTCCCTTAACAAGTGGGAGGCACATATGCAAACTGTTGCCATTCCTACACCATTCACCTGATTTGGATGTAAATACCCTAAGATTAAAGCTGACAGTCTGCAGTTAAAGCACATCTTGTTTGTTTCATTTCAAATCCTTTTTGGTGGTGTATAGAGCCAAAAATGTTAGAATTGTGTCCATGTCCCAATATTTATGGACCTCACTGTATGACAACACTAGGCTGCTTCTTCCTGCCCAGGCCAATTTTCATCTTTCAGTGCTGTCGCACTTTGAGTGACAATTGCGCGGTTATGCAACACTGCACCCATATGAAATTCTTATCATTTTTTTTTCACACAAATAGAGCTTTCTTTTGGTAGTATGTACTAACCGCTGGGTGTTTTATTTTTTGTGCTTTAAACAAATAAAGAGAAACAATTTTGAAAAAAAAAATGTTTTTCTTTGTTTCTATTATAATATTTTGCAAACAGGTAATTTTTCTCCACTGATGTGCGTTGATGAGGCTGCACTGATAGGCAGCACTGACGGGCACTGATAGGCAGCACTGATGGGAACTGATAGTCTGCACTGATGAGGCGGTACTGATGAGCTGGCACTGATATGCAACAATGATGGGCACTGATAGGCGGCACTGATGAGCTGGCACTGATATGAAACAATATATGGGCACTGATAGGTGGCACTGATGGGTGGCACTTACTGATGGGCACTGATGGGTGGCATTGCTGGACACAAGTGGGTGGCACTGATGGGTGGCACTGCTGGGCACTTGTGGGCCTGTCCCTCTGCGCTCCTCCTGTCCCATTGCCCCTCACCTGTCCTTCTGCGCTCCTCCTGTCGCTCTGAGCTCCTTCTCCTGTCCCACTGTGCTTCTCATGTCCAGCTGCCTGATCCTGTCCCATGCCCCCCGTCATGCTGCCCCCTACCTGTCCCTCTGTGCTCCTCCTGTCCCACTGCCCCTCAGCTGTCCCTCTGCACTCCTCCTGTCCCATGCCCCCCCGTCATGCTGTCCCCCACCTGTCCCTCTGTGCTCCTCCTGTCCCACTGCCCCTCACCTGTCCCACTGCGCTCCTCCTGTCATATGCCCCCCATCACACTGCCCCCCACCTGTTCCTCTGCGCTCCTCCTGTCCCACTGCCCCTCACCTGTCCCTCTGTGCTCCTCTTATCCCGGTGCCCCGATCCTGTCCCATGCCCCCCTGTCATGCTGCCTCCTACCTGTCCCTCTGCGCTCCTCCTGTCCCACTGCCCCTCACCTATCCCTCTGCGCTCCTTCTCCTGTCCCACTGCGTTCCTCCTGTCCCTCTGCCCCAATCCTGTCCCATGCCCCCCGTCATGCTGTCTCCCACCTGTCCCTCTGTGCTCCTCCTGTCCCACTGCCCCTCACCCTGTCCCACTGTGCTCCTCCTATCCTATGCCCCCCATCACACTGCCCCCCACCTGATCCTCTGCGCTCCTCCTGTCCCACTGCCCCTCACCTGTCCCCTGTGCTCCTCTTATCCCGCTGCCCCGATCCTGTCCCATGCCCCCCATCACACTGCCCCCCACCTGATCCTCTGCGCTCCTCCTGTCCCACTGCCCCTCACCTGTCCCACTGCGCTCCTCCTGTCCCGCTGCCCTGATCCTGTCCCATGCCCCCCACTATGCTGCCCCCCACTTGTCCCTCTGCGCTCCTCCTATCCCGCTGCCCCCCGTCATGTTGTCCCCCAGTGCTCCTCCTGTCCCACTGCCCCTCATCTCTCCCTCTGCACTCCTCTTCCTGTCCCACTGCGTTCCTCCTGTCCCTCTGCCCCAATCCTGTCCCATGCCCCCCGTCATGCTGTCCCCCACCTGTCCCGCTGTGCTCCTCCTGTCCCACTGTCCCTCACCTGCCCACTGCGCTCCTCCTGTCCTATGCCCCCCGTCACGCTGCCCCCCACCTGTTCCTCTGCGCTCCTCCTGTCCCACTGCCCCTCACCTGTCCCTCTGTGCTCCTCCTATCCCGCTGCCCCGATCCTGTCCCATGCCTCCTGTCACGATGCCCCTTACCTGACCCTCTGCAATCCTCCTGTCCCACTACCCCTCACCTATCCTTCTGCACTCCTCCTGTCCCTCTGTGCTCCTTCTCCTGTCCCACTGCGCTTCTCCTGTCCCGCTGCCCCAATCCTGTCCCATGCCCCCCTGTCATGCTGCCCCCTACCTGTCCCTCTGCGCTCCTCCTGTCCCATTGCCCCTCACCTATCCCTCTGCGCTCCTTCTCCTGTCCCTCTGCGCTCCTTCTCCTGTCCCACTGCTCTTCTCCTGTCCCGCTGCCCTGATCCTGTCCCATGCCCCCCATCACTCTGCCCCCTACCTGTCCCACTGCCCCCTACCTTTCCCTCTGCGCTCCTCCTGTCCCACTGCCCCTCACTTGTCCCACTGCGCTCCTCCTGTCCTGCTGCCCTGATCCTGTCCCATGCCCCCCATCACTCTGCCCCCTACCTGTCCCACTGCCCCCTACCTTTCCCTCTGCGCTCCTCCTGTCCCACTGCCCCTCACTTGTCCCACTGCGCTCCTCCTGTCCCGCTGCCCTGATCCTGTCCCATGCCCCCTGTCACTCTGCCCCCTACCTGTTCCTCTGTGCTCCTCTTGTGCCACTGCCCCTCACCTGTCCCACTGCGCTCCTCCTGTCCCGCTGCCCTGATCCTGTCCCATGCCCCCCGTTATGCTGCCCCCGACTTGTCTCTCTGCGCTCTTCCTATCCCGCTGCCCCGATCCTGTCCCATGCCCCATGTCATGCTGTCCCCCACCTGTCCCTCTGTGCTCCTTCTGTCCCACTGCCCCTCTCCCTCTGCGCTCCTCCTGTCCCTCTGCGCTCCTCCTCCTGTCCCACTGCGTTCCTCCTGTCCCTCTGCCCCAATCCTGTCTCATGCCCCCCGTCATGCTGTCCCCCACCTGTCCCTCTGTGCTCCTCCTGTCCCACTGCCCCTCACCTTTCCCTCTGCGCTCCTCCTTTCCTGTCCCTCTGTGCTCCTCCTCCTGTCCCTCTGCGCTCCTCCTGTACCTCTGCCCCCATCCTGTCCCGTGCCCCCATCACGCTGCCCCCCCATCTGTCCTTCTGCCCTCCACCTGTCCCTCTGCCTCCCCACCCATCACTCTGCCCCCCGTCATGCTGCCTTCCTTTTGTCCTGCTACCCCCCTACCTGACCCGATGGCTTACTCCTGTCCTGATATCCCCCCGTCATGCTGCCCCCCTCCTGTCCCGCTGCCCCCTTCCTGTCCTGGGGCTCCCCATCACGCTGCCCCCCTCCTGTCCCGCGACCCCCTGCCATGTCACACTGCCCTTTATCATGCTCCTGTCCTGAAGAGGTAGATCTTAAACAGCAAGGGGAGGACAAATTTTAGATGGGGGTGCCCGATTTTAGTCTTGCCTAGGGCAGCACAAAACCAAAATACACTACTGCCCGGGTGTGCGTTCTGGGAGGACATCATATGATGTCTTCCTAGAACTGGCCGGCCGCAGTGAAGTTGTCCTTCGGCTATCTGCTGTCGGCAAGTGGTTAAAGCGTGACATGTTAGGTATCTGTTTATTCCACGTACCATTATTCTTTTTAATTTACAAAAAAAAAATGTATTATAATAGTAATATTATACAGGATTTATATAGCGCCAACAGTTTGCTCAGCGCTTTACAATATAAAGGGAGACAATACAGCAACAATACAGTTCAATACAAGAGAGTTAGGAGGGCCCTGTTCCTTGGAGCTTACAATCTAAGAGGGAGGGGCTGGTGGTACAAAAGGGTGGGGGATGGACTGGTAGGAGGAATAGAATATTTGGTTATTAGCTGAAGGCAGGATAGGTTTCCCTGAAGAGATAGGTCTTCAGAGATCGCCTAAAAGTGGGCAGAGTAGGTGATAATCTGATAAATTGGGGTAGAGAGTTCCAGGGGATGGGGGAGGCTCTGAAGAAGTCCTGGAGACTTGCATGGGAGGAGGAGACAAGGGAGCTAGAGAGAAGCAGGTTGTGGGAGGAGCAAAGAGGACGGTATATTACTACAATTCAATAAATTGTATTTTTCCAAAAAATGTGTACTTGAAAAACTGCAGAGCACATACCATGTGACATAGAAATGGCAAACCCCCCCCCCCCCATTTTATTCTCTAGGGCTTCTGCTAAAAATATATATACTGTTTTGAGCATTCGAAGTCATTTTCTATCAATAAATCTTGATGTTTACATGTAGGAGAGAAATGTGGGGATTTGCCCTGTAGGGAAGTGGTTTAGTCAGCCCTGGAGTTTCGTGGCTTGGCTTTGTGTTCGGCCACACCGAGCTCCTTGGAGCATAGAAGCGGTGGTCAGGATATGTCGTACTGAACACCGACACACACTAATTGCAATGTAATGCTCTTTAGGAACACTTCAGTACAGATATAGCTCACCAAACAGCCCCGCCTACTCTAGTACCACACACCTCCCTTTACCTGCCCCCTATATGGACAGCAGCTCCTCCCCCCGAAGCCGGCACCAATGGGCGGAGACTTCTTGCTCGCCTAGCACATTGTAGGGCCCACTCGTCCATGTTGTCATAGCACGTCACTCTCCATTTATCAGGCCGGTCACGACTCCGCCCAACACCTCCTCTACGCCCTCTCCTCGTCTCCTCCCCGCCGTCCTGTGGGCGCTACCGGGTGAAGCATGGCGGCGGTGGAGAGCAGAGTGTGTGAGACGGCGGACTGCACCAGCGAGGCCAAGCTGCAGTGTCCTACCTGCATCAAACTGGGCATCCAAGGCTCGTATTTTTGCTCGCAGGTATTTGTCCTAGGGCAGGCATTGGAGGCTGTGCAGCGCCTGGTGTATGGGATGTGGGCAGAGCGCTCCTGTGCGTGCACACTACATGCAGCTCCCCATGTGCTCAGCACAGGCTGACCTTATAGAGGAAGGAGCACATGGGAGGCATATTCTCAGAGCTGACAGTGGAGGCTCAGCCTCGCATTACTTCCTGCTGACAACTCCTGGGAATGTCATCTACTTCCTGTCTGCATGCTGTGTCAGTGCCCTGTGCCCAGCCCTCACTGGCAGGATTTCTACCTAGAACTGAGCAAGCACCACTCTTCCCATTTCCAGGCAGTGAGGATCTCCTTTCTAAAAGAGCCGACTAGTCCAGTTACGAGTCCATTCATACAGGCATGTGTGTATTTTCTGCATGATCGCAGGTTCTTGCTGGCAGAAGATCATTTAGAACAGAGCTAGGCAACCTTGTGCTGCCCATACATGGGTCAAAATTTGACCAATTTGTTGAAGAATAACCGGCCAATTTTTTGTTCTGTTAGTAGGTCAATGGCAGCGGCTGACTTCCACTGTTCCTCCCCTTTTCGGTGATCAGGCATGTTGTTAAATTTGTGAAAAATGACCGATTTTTGACTCAATGATGGTCAAATCGTAGGATCGTTTTTCTGAAAAGAATATGTGCTTGAGCCCTGACCTGGAAGGAACAGAAGTTTTGCCTGTTATATGGGGTGAACTCTATGACTTGGTCGGCCGATTTTCGAAATCATTGATGGCACCATCGGATTACCGTGCGAACGACTGTTTCAATTTTCGGCCGAAAAATCTTTTGGAATTTGACCCATGTATGGCCTGCATTAGAGCTGATTCACACATGCATAGTGCAGGTTGAAGCTCAGGTTTCACAGCTAAATGATACAGTAGTTGTTCATATCAGGTTCAGGACAGGTTAGGAGCTGATTCACACATGTGCGGTTTGAAGCTCAGGTTTCACAGCTAAATGGTACAGTAGTTGTTCAGCGGTTCATGTCATGTTTACATCAGGACCAGGACAGGTTAGGAGCTGATTCACACGTGTGGTGCTGATTGAAACTCAGGTTTCACAGCTAAATGATACAGTAGTTGTTCAGCGGTTCATGTCAGGTTTACATCAGGTCCAGGACAGGTTAGGAGCTGATTCACACATGTGCGGTGCAGATTGAAGCTCAGGTTTCACAGCTAAATGATACAGTAGTTGTTCAGTGGTTCATGTCAGGTTTACATCAGGATCAGCTCAGGATATTTTCCTGTTCGCACATATGCGATTTAGAAATGGTTCCCATAGAAGTCAATAGCCTATAATCCGCACCTGAACTGGACCGCACTGCTCAGAAATTGGACATGACTCTTTTATAACTGCACTGAATTGGTACCAGCCGTGCACCGGACATATGTGAACAGGAACCATTGGAAGCAATGGTATTTCACATGTTGTGGTTTGGATGTGGTTCAAACTGCATCCAATCCGCATATGAGTGAACAGGCAATTAAAGTGTTACACAACAGTAAAATCTGTCTGTATATGCAGTAAAGCATGCTTGGTATACTCCCTGTGGAACCTCTGCATTGTGTAAAAATGCTGTTTGATCCTGTCTTCTCTGATCCTCCCCTTTTCCAGTGCCCCGCATCCTATTTCCTGATAAGACTTATAGTGTGGAGTCACTCTGCACATGCTCAGTATAGTGTGTATTGCTAGAGAGGTTTTTGGGAGAGTGCATGTGATCAGCACTGTTCAGACAGAGGTAAAGGGTTCTGCATCCTCGTAGAGCAAAATTAAAATTCCTCCTATAAACTTTAACCAGTGCTCGGCTGGATACTGATAAAAAGTCACAATACTGCTGATGAGAAAAATTATTTAGCAGTTTACATTTAGTGAAATAATTGCATTCTGTGTACTGTGGGAGACCAGATATAGTGAATGCAGGGTCCTGGGTTTAGTAACAATTGAAGCTTTGATAAAACAAATCAGGAAGCTGATTGGTTTCTATGCAGAGCTGCACAAGATTTTAACTAGTGCCGGTCTGGACACTGATAGAAGTCACAACACTGATCTAACTGCTGATTAGAAAAGGTATTTAGCAGTTTATATTTACTAAAATAATTGCACTTTCATGTTCTGTGGGAGAACAGATATAGTGAATGCAGGGTCCTGGGTTTAGTAACCCTTTAAAGAGGTGGAGATCTACCTGAACAGCATGAGAGAAGTCAATGATCACTGGGCACAGTGTTACCTCCTCATGCCTGACCTCTAATTGCCGTACTACCTCGTCACAATCGCATGCATTGCACAACAGTCATGGGTTTAAATCAGGTGGTGGGGAGACAACGTGTTGTCTCATCACCTGTCAGGCATGCTCATTCATAAACACACTGCACGTGTGAATGAGCACTTCCTTGCATTTGGCAGTGGCACCCTTAGGGCTCGTTCACATGTAAAGTTGAGGGGGGGTGGTAAAACCCTGCAGTTGGGTCACTTAGCAGATGTAGCACCCTCCTAGTTAGGTGCTAGTATAGGTGTTCGTAGGTAAATTTAGTTGTTTTTTTTGGGCTCCTGTACTCGAGTTTTGGTGCTCCTTCAGAAAGTGCACCAAACTCGCAGGATATAATAGAAGGCTATGGCTGAGCGCAGGAAAGCTGCAGGTACACTATACTGCCCTGCACCACACCTGCAGCGTGGGTAAACCGCAGCACATCAGTGTGAAAACAGCCCTAATTTATTATGCCCAGTGTATTGCTTCGCACTGGCCTGAAGATCTCTTCTTTCCTGCTGCTCGCACCTCTCTGGAGACTGCGAGCTGGGATAAGGGGTGGAGTGCAGTTGCGATCACTCCGCATGGGACAGGAGCCAGCACTACAGTGGAGGCATCGGCTTATACATCTCTTGCTCCCTACTACAGCTCCAACTTTACAAGCAGTCCCTCTGCTTTGCACTCAGATGCTCTGGGATGGCGGGTCAGCAAGTCAGCTTCCTGGGATCTACTTTTAACCATTTGCCGCCCACCCTATGGCCGAATGGCAGGTGGCAAATGTCATCAGCGTTCCAGGTGGACGCCATATGGCGTCGTCCTGCACATGCACAGATTGCGCTCCTGCAGAGCGGCGTGATCTGTCACCGGCCGTGTACCTCCGACACGGCCAATGACAGATCTGAGTATCTGCCCCGTTGCCGGTACCATGTGACCTGCTGTGACCAATCACAGCAGGTCACATGACAGTTGTATACAATGGATGGCTTCATTCGTGCCATCAATTGTATACTAGTGTCTAGCTGTGAATGGTCACAGCTAATCACATGCACATGTCATGTGATTAGCTGTGGCCAAATCACAGCTAAGCACAAAAAAAAAACCCTGAATGAATCGATGTCATTCAGGTGAATGCTTGCTTATAGCAAAGTAATTCTTTGATGTAAGCAAATTGTGTAAAAAAAAAAAAAAAAAAAAAAAAAAAAAAAAAAATAAAAATACTGATCACTTCCCCAAAGTAGTACAATGTAACTATGGTAAGTGAGCAGTAATAGCTGGGCTTTTCTTGGCACGGTCCTTAACAAGGTCCTGGGAGTTTTCCAGTCAGGCTTCATAAGGTACGTAAATGGCCTTCACCTATAGCAAGGGCAATTTTTTTTTTTTTTTTTTTGTATCTACAGATGCCCCTCATCTGTATAAGCACTTTCTTTGTAAAGGTGAACACGATCAGATAAGTAAAACTGCTCTTCCGGCTCCCTGGACAGAAACAAGCAGTCAACCCTTGCAGAATGCATGCAGAAAAACTCACATCTCTGCACATGGTGTGGATGAGGCCCTAAAGTGGAACTAAATTAATCGATTTAACTGTTTCCCAAAGTTACATTCAAGGCATGCTGTGAATGATAGCTGTCACAGGTGCTCGTGCTCTCATCTGAACTGTAAGACCATCATATGGCTGGTGTCGTAACTGATGTGCAGCACCATGACAACTGCAGATTAGAAGCTAAGATGGCGGCTTCCTTGGCTGTAAGGATAGGAGGGTTTCATTTGGCTTTAAACACATACCAGCCCATGTCCTTCAGCTCTGTTTTCCACGCAGCCAGTGCTGCGCAAGGCTACTCGTCTATGCCATCATCTTGGCTGCAGGAGCCGGCTGTCACTTCCCGATGACTCACTGCAGGCCCCCATACTGTGCATGCACAACAAAGCGGACTGCAGTGATACTGGTCCTGTAGCTTCCCGGGTTGTGGAATGTTATCCCAAGAGACTGCAGGCCAAGGCAACCTCATTCTCAGTAGGCATGAAATGGGAAAAGGTACCATCATAAAAAAAAAAACTGTCTTTCGACACAAAAATAAATTAGCGCAATTTTATTACAGGCCGGCTGGAGGAAGATTATGGATGGAACTTTTATTTTCAGGTGAAGCGCTGCTATAAAGTGCACCTTTCACCCATTGCATCTATTTATTATATTCAGTTATAAACTGCTAAAGAAGAATTCCAGTATATTTTATACCTGGTTACATTGGTCCACCTTGGACCAAAGTAACTATGCACATACCATACCTAGTTGATCCCCCAGGAAGCTGGAAATAATTGAAACAGACTGCTATTCCAGTTATCTCCACTAGCTACCAGTTCCCATGCCGTGTGGCTGCCCTGATGCATTGTGAAAACAGGAGGTTCCCCGCTCGGCATGGGTGCCATTTAGAGATAACTTTGCATTTTCTCAATGAATGCTAAAGCATTCTGAGTGGACAAGGTGGAGAAGCGGGTGGTTACGTCATGATCTCTACCTCACCCAATCAGAGAATGTTTTATTCACTGAGAAAATGCAAAATGTTCTCTAAATAGCATCCATGCCAAGTCTTGGGTTGTGTAAGCAGTTGGCACCCCCCTTGGCACAGGAACCTGAAAGTAATGGAGATCTCTGGAGTAGTGATGTCTGCTTCAGTGATTTGCAATTTCCAGGGGGGGGGGGGGGGGGGGGGGACCTCCAGATATATAATATATACAGTA